AGGTAGGTAGGTAGGTAGGCAGGTAAATCTGTACTCACATAAGTTTAGAGCCGGATCGGGGTCGCGGACAATATTTATGTTGACTCCCGTCTGACTGACTGCCTCGCACTGCAGGGATACCACGAGTCGTGGATGGGACGTGGGTGAGTTCTCTTGCTGTCGTGCATCTGGCTGTTTGTTTCTGCACAGGGGAGATATTCAGACCGCTTTGTTGCACAAATTCGGCGTGGAAAATATGACAGCGCTTCTGGCATGTAGCACAATGGCACGGTGAAGCTGCGGCTTGCGAGCTGGTCCTACAATCTCACCATCAACAAGACCCTAAACCCTCAACACCCAAGCTGCGAAGTGTGCATCGGGTGCTGCGTCGCGCCATCTCCTCGTCGCGGGCATTGGCTTGGGAATTCCGTGCTCGGGGCTTGGGGAGGTCTTCAACTAAGTCCAGTCGGGGGCAGGGTATGCAGGGCAGCGCGGGAGGACTCACTTCGGGATCATCACCACCTTGCCTTGCAGAGGCAACGCCCAGCCTATAAACCCGCAATGCGTTGGCTCTCCAATCGCAGGTCAATCAGGTGAGTCGTCTTGTCGGCTTTCTTCGGACCCTGAACACTAAACCCAAGGCCCAGACCCTGACGTCCTGGCGTGTAGATCGGGATCCTCTGGAACTTCGCCAAGCTCTCAAAGACGCGCATATCCTCCCAGGGCAGATGGTTCACCATCTCCTGCAAGTCACCTCGGTTTCGCAGTTTCTTGGGGCTCGCAAAACGAGGAAACAAAGATGAGAATTGCATGCCATTCTGCCGGCTAAACCGTGTGCCTTGTAGGAATACCCAGAGCAGTGTTTGTTACCATCGTCTTTTTCGTCTCCGTCGGATCATCCTTCTCCTCGTCACCGCCGCCCNNCATCATCAGCATCATCAGCATCATCGTCATCATTAACATCATCATCATCATCATCGTAATCATTAACATCATCATGATGCCGCTCATCATCACTCTCTGTGTAAACACGCGAAGAATCACCATCATTATCGCCACGACCTGCCCACTAGTCATAATCACCAACAACAACAGCATCAGTGTCATCATCACCACAACCGTCATCAAAGATGTGACATCAGACTCACTGCCATCTTCACAACCACCACCAAGATGCGGCATTCCTGCCAAACACCTCATCATCACCATCATGAGCATCATCATCATCATCATCATCATCATCACGAACACTAACAACATCGTCATCATCATTATCATCAGCATCGTCAGCGACTCAAACGTGGTAATCGTCATACCAATGGTCATTCTTATAAACACCTACATGCATACATACATACATTACATACATACATACATACATACATACATACATACATACATACATACATACATACATACATACATACATACATATATGCATAAGCCCGTGCAGGCATGCGTGCATGGTTGCATGCATGCACGCATGCAACCTTGCAACCATGCATACATACATACGTACATATATATATATATACATAAATATATATATATATATATAGTATAATGAGAGAGAGGGAAACACACATATAGACGAGTTTATATATATATATATATGTATACATATGACACAGGTCGCCAGCCGAAAGACGGTTTCGGTAGGAATGAACCAAGAATTCTCCGATGCTGAGAAAGCCGGATCTGTTGGAGTCCATCCTGGAGTTTTGAAGCATCTTCGGCGTTTTGTTTTGGATTTTAGGGTTTGGGATGGGGTGTAGTGTTTTCGGAGTTGTATTCGGGTGCCATAAGGGCACTGCAAGGGTACTGCAAGCATTCTGTTACTGTAAGGGTTTTATAGGGGTTTGGGCATGGGCCCAACCACTTCCGTTCTGCAGCCTGTGCGGGTGGAAGGCGTAATTTACTTACCAAGCACGTGCTTCACGAAGCCTTGTCACTGTCGGGTCACGGTCGCTGTCTTGGGTAATGTGGTGTTTGGTGGTGGTGTTTGGTGGTGGTGTTGGGTGGTGGTGTTGGGTGGTGGTGTTGGGTGTCAGTGTTGGTGTTGGTGTTTGTGTTGGAGTTGGGGTTGCTGGTTGTGGTGCTGGTGGTGGTCGTGGTGGTGGTGGTGGTGCTGGTGGTGGTGGTGGTGGTGGTGGTGGTGGCGGTGGTGGTGGTGGTGGCGGCGGTGGTGGTGGGGGCGGTGCTGCTGGTGGTGGTGATGGGTGGAGGAGGAGAGGATGGTTTGGGGTGGCGGCTTATAAACTCCGACAACAACGACGACGACAACAACGACAACAATCAGAGCAGCAATATACTAATAATAATGCTAATCGTAATGATAGCAATGTTAATGGAAAATTAAAATGTATGAATATGAATATAAACTTAAATACAAACGGTAAAATCAACTGTAATAGTGGTGGTGGTGGTGGTAGTAGTAGTAGTAGTAGCAGCAGCAGTATGAATAACGATAAGAATGACAATCACAAAAATAATACTACTAACATTAGTATCAATAGTTTGCTGTCACAATATGTAAGTGACAGCTGGACCCATGCCCGGACCTCTTGAACAAGTCGTCCATGGCCACCTCTAACTCCACATCCGTTGGCATGGCCACACCTACAAACCAGCGATGAAGGCCCTCCAGTATGGATCGGATTGCCTGGCTCGCGCCATGTTGGGGGGAAGCAAAAGGTATCTCAGCGCCTCTGGGATCCTGTGGTTAGGATGTGGGATGACAGACAAGACAAGAAGAAACACCGAAAGCTTGCCTGCTGGAGCGCCAAGTCGCGATGCAGAACTCCGGCTTGCTCAGCTGGCCGTCGTTATCCAGGTCGAAAATGCTGAAGATCAGGGACATCCGAGAGATGTAGCTTTGGTTTGAAGTCAACACTGCCGCGGCGAAAACGGTGTTGCCGTCCACCTGCGAGCTTCAACACTAGGACCGAAGGTTCTTCCGTGCACCCGCTCCCCTGCAAGGTACCTCTAGGGATCTTGCTGCCTGTCTCGCATCTTGAAACAGTCCCACCTTGCTCTTCTTCGGGTGCAACATCTTGAAAGCTGCCTTTGAGTGGGCAGTGTCCGAGAAGCACTGGAACGCCTCTTAGTTCGCCAATAAGCCAGGGAAATAAAAGGTTAAACTTTCAGATTACTACTAAGTTATAAGAACCTAAAAAGTTTAAAGGTTGGGTATTGGGTAACTAAGGCCTCCAAAAAGGTGTGGCAGTCCATGTCAGGCTCGCCGGTATCCAGGAAGCGCTGGTAGGCCTTCAGTAAGTCCTCCCTGGACCAGAAAGCTAGCGGCCGCAGCTCTTCATGCATCTCTGGTACGCCATGGCCACAAAGCCTGAAATTCTTGAGTGGCTCTCAGGTTTGCAGCTTAAGTCGAAGATGTTCAAAAGCCCTTAAACCCAAACTCGATGGTGCAAGACTTCCTGGCAGGTCTCCCAGCAGTAGCCCACTAAACCGACTGCGCATGGCCAGGTTTCAGCCCTATAGCTTATAAGGGCTTTGGGCTCAAGGCCTCGACCTTAGCCCTAAGCCCCAAACCCCGAACAGTTTAGGACTCAGGGTTTAGGGTTTAGGGTTTAGGGGGGGCAGAAGCCTGATCCTATACCACTAAAGCCCAAATCCCCAGTCCCGGGCCGGGTTACAAGCCTTTGGACCAGATCTTGCTGGCGATCTTGCCCATGGTCAGACGGAGACGGCGGGTCGACTGAGGCCTTCGGTACCCGGAGAACCCCTGCATAAAGGAACATACTAATGAAGACACCTGAAAGTATAGTGGGAACCCTAATATGACGTAAAGTATCTTGGGTTCGATACGGTGCTAATATAAGCGGTCCGAGATAGGGGCCTTAATCATCAGAGGTGGGTTTTGGGGGTGATTATTGTATTCATATGGGGCCTACTCAGTACTAGATATTCTGACACCTATATTATGATGATTGTGAGAGCCACTGCGGCAGTAGTGTAGTCGTCGTGGACGTAGCAACAGAAGAGGCATTGGTAGCAGTAGTCGCCGTCGACGTGGTAATAATAACGGCAGCAGCTCGAGCGCATCAAGCATAGCAGGACCAGTAACAGAAGGCCAACACGTCGAGCTGCCAAAGCAGTCAGAACAGCTACCACTGATGGGAATCTGATGGGAATGGATGTCACCAATGTGGCCTCTAACCTAAACCTGGACACCAAGCAGACCAGCCTCTTCACCCTGTATATGAACCTTCTTCCTGACTGCTAGGATCAGCAATCCCCGGCTTCGTTCATGAAGCTCCAACAACAATCCTCAGGTACATGGCGCAAACCGCTTCTACCCAGCCGGGCGGCTGGGATGTGGGGTCCTGCCCACTGTACCCAACGCCACAGCGCCGCCGCTTGACCCTTCAGGTGACACCTTGGTACACTTCGTAGAAGTTGATAACATATTGCACGTATTCAGTAATGCACCCGAAAACCCTGCTCTTATGATTAAGACACCTAAACGAAGCCTTGAAAGTAATCCTTCTGGTTAGTAGCCCTTGTAGAACCTTTCAAAAGCCCTACTCTAAGCACTACGGCCTCTACCTCGAAGCGTCTTCAGCTCTTTTACCTCTGCAAGGCTCTTAGGCTCCGGTGTCGTTCCATGAATTCCCCCATTTGGAAGTTGCAACTATGTAGGGTGTATACGGTTTTATCAGGGTTTTGTAGGGGGTCCTGGCAAGGACCTAACATGCTAGAACAGTATTGTAGGACATATCATGCGGTGATAATTACATCGACATAGTGGGACCATAAGAATACTAAACCTGCAGACCCCAATGCTATGCCCATGCATCACCTACTCTCCACCCTAAGTTCAGCCAGCAAGGGACGCGTGAAATGATGAGCACCTGGCAAACCGTGGTAAGTCTCGCAAGCAAGGGCAGTCAGCCAGTGTTGGGGGAGAGGTGAGAGTTTTGCGGGCGCCTTGTCCTGAATTGTTTTACAGACCCTTGACTAACAAGGGCTTTCGGGTTTAGGTCTTGGGGGGTCTTCATGTAGACCACTGAGTCCCCTCTTTCAGCCTTTCTAGCGGGATGCCTCTTGCAAAATCATGTCTTGATTGGCCCGAAGACCACTCGTTCCCAGCCCACGCACCAACTCTCGGCTTTAGGGGGAATCCCGCCTGCTGCGTGAACGGTGCCCCGGAAACGAAAACAGATTGCTGCAACCGTGCATGTCTTGCTGAGGAATTTGTGGCCCTGAAAAAGCTCCGACGTTCGTGGTGGATTGGGTCCTGTCCACATTTTTGCCGCAGCGACAAAATCAATGCGTGAGTGCATATCCATGTGTTCCGCTAGCGTCGCTGCGTGCAGGCAGCATTTTTTACACAGGCTTGATTGGAGCTCGGCCGGCCAATGTTCCTCGTAGCACATCGCACTCGTGGCGCTGCCTGCATTGATTGTGCAACATGTTGTCAAAAAGCATGTGACTCCTGTGCCCGTGTGAGAGGACAGTACATACCCCAACACGAACGACCTGCACATCGTTTGCAAGACATTGCTACAAATCCCACCCCTAGAAGTCCCTAGACCCCAAACAGTAAACCCTAGAATAGAAACGAAGAAAGCACCAGATACTCCACCCGCACAGGCCTTGCCTCATGTCCGAGTGTGAGTATCAAAAGCCATAAACTCCAAGCCTGAACCCGAAACCCACATATCCTGGCCTGAAAAGTTCGAATAGGGTGCTTCATGTCGGATTTTTGCATGAAGACTATAACAAGGGGATAACACTCCTCATGCCCCAAACCCTAACCCCATGAACCTCCCGAAACCAGGGCGCGAAAGGGTCCCCGTCTGACGGCCACGGCCGCTGGCTCGACACCTCTAAGGGTTTAGAGATTTCTTTGCCTCCCACCGGGTTTAGAGTTTAGCGGAGTGCAAATCTCAGGCATGGCAGCTCAAAAAGAGCGTCGTTTGGGGAGGTTTCGGCCATGTTGCAAGATCTACTTGCACCAGGAGGCCAAAATCGGCCGTAGAACGGGCTGCGAAAAGGCCACAACAGCTTTGACTTTGGGGGGTTTCTTCTTCTGCGATAAGCGCGACGATTCCAGAGTCTCTGACGGATTCTTGCAATCAGTCCTTGTGTACTTCTTATGCCATACCACAATCCTTGTACAGTTCTTGTACCATACTAGGTCCGTCCCTTTCCAATTGCATACAGTACTATGCACAAGTCCGTGTACTAACTTAAATGTTTCAGCCTGCTTGCACGCAGACCTGCTCACGTCGACCGATCGGGTCAGTCCCAAGGCAAATCAGAAACCTAGGCCTGAACCTTTGGAAGACCTTCGCTGACCCCGAAGAGTCAGAAAACCGACCTCAAGCCTGAAGAAGTTCTGTGGGAGTCCGAAGCCACCTTGTAGGCGATTAAGCCGCGCGGCCGAACCCGCCGTCGCTAGTTTGAGCCCAAGAGCAAAGTTCGGCGGTGCTGATGAGGATGATGATGATGATGATGATGCCGCTGATGGTGGTGGTGTTGATGAAGACGGCCATGATGATGATGATGATGATGATGATGATGATGACGATGATGGTGATGGTTGTGGTGATGATGATGGTGATGGTGGTGATGGCGACGGTGGTGTTGGTGACGAGGAAGATGACGATGATGATAGTGATAATGATGATGATGATGATGGTGATGATGATGATGATGATGATGATGATGGCGATGGCGATGGCGATGGCGATGGCGATGGCGATGGCGATGGTGATGGTGATGGTGATGATGAGAATGGTGGTGGTGCTGGTGATGCTGATGATGCTAGTGATGTTCTGATGCTGGTGATGCTGGTGGTGGCGGTGGTGGCGGTGGTGGCGGTGGTGGCGGTGATGGCGGTCAGGGTGGTTACGGGTCGTGGTGGATGGTGGTCATACTGTGGTCATCGTGGTCATGGAGGTCATGGCGGCCATGGTGGTCATGGTGGTCTTGGTGGTCATGGCGGCGATGGTGGTGATGGCGGTGATGGTGGTGTGGTCATGGTGGGTGTGGCGCGAAAACCTGCTATCTCCACCATCAGCAGTCCCTGTCGAACCGGATCCAGCACCACTCCACCGGCGCGTTGTGCAAAGCCGTGTAGAACCAGCATAGGACCCGGTGTGGTAAGCCTCATAGAACCCTGATAGTCACCCTTACTGAACCCTGAATAACTCCTTAATCTGCTCCAGCAAGGTCGTGGTGTCGCGATCAAAGCTCTGCACCTGGCCCTCGGCGAGCAAGAGAGGGTTTCGGTTTCGGGGACCAATCAAGGTTTCCATCGGGTCCTTGAAGAGATCAGCGAGGGTTCAGAAGGGGCTCTACAAAGGTGCTTGGTTTTCAGTTCAAGAAGGCTTAGGGTTTGGACACTAGGCTGGTACCCAGGGCTCCAGCACACGTTTGTAAGATAATCTGGATAGTTGTATAAAGGTTTCAGAAGAGCTCGATTTGGGTACAGTTCTCAACGTTTTGGATAACATGCGCCATGCGAGTTCCTCGCAGTTGGGGCTGTAATGTTTGGGGTTATTTTTGCGCTTTAGGAGTTCAGGGTTTAGGATGTTTCGTGGTTCTAAGATGCATGGATTATCAGGGGTTTCGGGTATCGGGCTTGGGTCTTTACGGTTTAGGGTTGTAAGGGCTTGGGGCTCTGAAGGTCTAGGACTTTGGCATTCGGGTTTGGTGTCTAACGTTTGGGTTTGCGCGGAATATTTGGGGTTATATGGTCTGGGCGTTGAAGAGTCAGCGTCTTTGCACGGTCAGGGCTGCCTACGACTGTTGGGCTACTTACAGTTGAGTACCCTAGCCCAAAAAGGGTTCACTGCTGGCCTGTGGTCGAGTCATTTGTGCTCGAAAAAGCATAGGTGGCCTACTGGGCATCTAGCGCGATAGTTAGGGTGCAGGGGATGTTTGGGGTTTGGGTTTACGGTTTAGGGTTTAGGCCAGGATGGAATCTAGCAGACGGCGTTTAAGGGCTGAGGGCTTCAATGCTCGGAGCACAGGCCAGGATTGTGAGTAGGCTTGGGTTTGGGGCTTAGGTCTGTTGTAGTTTCCACACTCACTCTCTGTGGCTTTGGGCTTTTTGGCGCGCCAAAACCCGAACCCTGCAACCTAAGCCCTAGCCGCTAACCTCTCGGCCCTCAGCCCTAAACCCTTTCCCCCAACACCTAAACACCCTCAACCCTGAACCTTGAATCCTACCCTAAAGCCTGGACCCTAAGCTAGGCGCAAGATGGTGAATCCTAAATTCCTGGACCTGAAACCAGAACGGACGCTTTTCCAGTGCATCTCGGCTGTTTCGAGGCTTCAGATTCCAGGCGGTCCCTGCACCGTGTCTGCTTGCAAGCACAACCTTCTGGAACCTAGGGCTTCAAGACACGATCTTCCCATGTCCGGGCTAAACTCTCGCAAAGCAGCCCCCAAGTCAACAAGAACACTACAGGAAATTTATGCGATGTGTGGTTTGCAGACTCCATTGGGCCGTACCAGGCCGGGAGGTAACAGCTCAGACGTACTGGTAGGTAAACCTGAGCTTCCGAGTGGGGGGCGGGGGGGCAGACAAAGGGCCTGAAATTAACCTAAACCTTAAACCCTAAACCCTAAACCCTAAACCCATTACCCTAAAACCGTTACCCTAAACCCTAAACCCAGTACCCTAAACCCTAAACCCTAGGATTCCGGCTTTGGGGCTTCGCGATTCGGGGCGAAAGGGCTGAGGGGTTCGGATCAGGGCTTGAACTTGTCGCCCTCGTAAAGTGCACCTCCCATGTCTTATGTCGCCTATCCTTTCATATCGAGGACAAGGAGAGAAGTAAGCTTTATATCTTATGAAAACTACATACTACACTAACTTCTTGATTCTTACAGTATGGGTATGTGTTGTCATTGTATACTGGCATATTATACTGGTATAGACTCCCGGCTACTGAGATACATGGGTGGTTGTCAAAATTATGGTCCCTTTTTGGGTCCTTATTATAATACGGCACCTACTATTTACGGTACCCCAAAAGGGACCATGATTTTGACAACTACCCACATGACTATTGTAGAACCTTCGTCTGGCTTGCTTTGTTTTCGCGGAGACCTTTAGATCGGGAGCTAGTTGCCGAGGCTGTCTCTTCCAGGTTTAGGGATTAGGATTAGGGTGTAGGATTTTTAGGGCTAAGGCTTAACCAATACATCGGTTTAGCGATTGGGGTTTTGGGCTTCGGTTTTTGGTCGCCGTCGTAGTAGTAGTAGTAGTAGTAGTAGTAGTACTAGTGGTAGTAATAGTAATAGTAATAGTAGTAGTCGTCGTCAGTCGTAGTAGTACAGTAGTTGTTGTTGTTAAGTTGTTAAGGATGATCATGGGCAGAAGAGCATGACATTCGGTGCTCATCATCGGACTGTCAGTCCGGTAATGGAGAATGCGTTGAAGGCGAGATTCGCGGGTTCGGGGTTTAGGGTGTTAATGGCGCTAGAAAAATCCTAGTGAAAACTGCTATCCTCGTCTCCGAGCAACTTGCGGGCTTCGTGGAACTTTGTCATCTCCTGTCAAGGCCGAGAACTAGCAAAAGCTACACAGGCACCTTCGGACATCTCCGACTACTAGACCCTGACACCTAAACTCTGCAAACCCTAAGCCATCGGGGACAAATCTCAGAGGCATTACTCCTGCAAGGCTGGAGGGTGTGGGCGTTACACGCTTTTCTCTGCCAGCCGCATCATTTGGCTGCATCGCATGTTGGGTGGGTTCTCACCCTCCACTCTCAACTAGGCTGCATGGATGCCATGGCAATCGCACGCAGAACCGGAAGACTTTACATGGTGGCAACATTGAGCGCTACTCATGGACGTCAGTCAGCCCATGCCGCTGCGCCCTGAACACCAACATATCCGAAACCACAAACACACACCTCCATACACACACACACACACTGCTGTTCTGCTACCCGTGTCTCCTGGCCACTGTTCATGAAGCCCACGCGACCCTCGATTGCATCGGGTACCTTCGCAGCGAAGAAACTTAAGCGCTTAGCGCGGGGCTTGCCGTAGACCCTAAACACCCCTAAACCCTAAACCTGCAAGGTTTAGCATCTTTTCAGCTTTAGGGTGGGGCTTGGGGCTTAAGGCTTCAGGGCTTCCAAAGTAGGGTTTAGGGTTAAGACCCACATGCATATCGAGCTAACCAACTTCAGAATACCCGGCGTGGCCTTGCGTCTGCAGCTTGAGGAAATTGCTTTGAAGACGAAGAAACGAAGCCAGAAAAAGGGCTCCGAGCCCCAAAGCCAAAGCAAAACGCCATACAAAGCCCGAAACAAGCTGTCTTCGGCACCCTGAAACATGCACCCAATCCTCCTGCGGAAACCAAGCCCTAATCAAAGAGGACGCCATTCGGGCTAAGCGTACTCCAAAGGCCCCCAAAAAGCACCTTGAAGATGCTGTCCTTGGGCTTTCCGGACATGAAGCCGCACTTGCTTCGGGCGCTGGCCTGCCAAAGCTACTTGGAGAGATGGGCTTGGGCTTTTTGGGCCGCACGGATTTGGGAGGTGGTTGGAGACGCCGGCTCTCGCAACTTGGCGAACCAACTATCTACGAGTTGGGGCGTCAGACTTCACGCTGTTTCGGATTTGAGGGTGAGGGGCTGGCGGTTTGAAAAGCTCAAGCGAGGCTGCACATGTTGGACCGCAGAGAGCAGTCCAACCCACAACCGGCCCGCCGCACATCACCGCGCCCAACCCTGCGGCACATCCGCGTTCGCCCCCCAAACATCTCAGTTCAATGCCCTTTCAGACCCCATAGACCCCACATTCACGACAGATTCATCATCTCATGAACTCAGGGAGGACTCCTGCATTGCAAAGCTTTGGAGTGAAGCGGGCTACCATCCATAAAGTGGCGCGAAATTATCTGCAAAGTGTTGCAACCTGAATCAGCTACGTTCCCTGTCGCTGCACTCCGGTTTCATATGTGCTTCAGGTTTAAGGGTTCGGTGGCTTGGGTTTAGGCTGGTGCTTTGAACGACAGCCAAACAGCCGTATTAGCATCGGAAGCATGAAGTCCTGAGGTCCTGAGGTACACAAAGCATACGATGCCACGGTTTAGGGTTTAGGGTTTAGGGTTTAGGGAGGAGTCAGGACTGCGGGTTGCCCCTATGCGACAGCTCGGGATGGACGGAACGGCCACAGCCGAGTTGAGCACCCCGAACCAGGAATCACAGGACACGGCCTTCTTGTAGAAGAACTTCTGCCAGTTGGACTGCAGCAGCGTTGCTGTTCAAAAGCATTCGTTGCAGGGGTGGGCATGCTGACAGGTCTACACTATCTTGCGCTTGGTCTCATTCTAGGTCAGATTCTAGCTCCTTTCTAGGTTCTGTCTCTTCAAGCTTGGGTTCCGCTATTCGAGAATCCTTCTGGCAGTCATGCGTGAAACATCTTTGGGTGACCCGGTGCGACCTTCCGCACCACTACCTCCCTCGCGGCGACTCATAAAACTCCTGCTCTGCCTACTGATGGCCACTGCTGACAACACTACCGCTGCTGCTCAGTCTCCTCATCCTCCTAATGCTATTCCTGTTGCCATTGCCACTGCTCCGGCTACTCCTCCTCCCACTTCTCCTTCGCCGCTGCTAAGGGGACCAATACAGCTGCGACGAGTGTTGCCTCACGGTAGTGCATCAAGAGATGAACACTCGAGCAAGTGGCCTGCTGCTTCACATGCTCGTGCTCCAACTTGTCTGCACGCTGCTGCTTCTTGATAGCCTGGTCCCGGCGCCCCTAACCCCTGAAGATGTGCTTGGAAGCTCGAGCTCCGGGAGTTTCGCTTAAAGATAAGATCTCAGGCCTCACAGCACTCGCCAAGCAATAAGTCGCCACCGGGATCCGAGAGTCTTTCGGCTCTTTAGGGTTTACGTTTAAAGCTAGTTTGAGGCAAAGTGTAGGGGCTTGGGAGCGCAACAGGTCCTGCGAGATCGGATCTGCCCCCGGGTTGCGAGAGCAGGCACAGCTCACATGCGGAACTGAAACTTGCTTCACCAGCTGGTCTGGCAGACTGGTCGTCAGAACCATTCGTTTTTGGGGCTGCTAGACATACACTCTTCTCGGCACCGCCCCTTGCATAAGGACTTTGAACGCACAGAGACAAACTGTAAGGCTGTAAGGTGCCGCATGCAGACGGGCACATGGAGGACTGCTACAATAAGTCTTGCTACAGAGAGTTTGAACATCAATATCCTCATGCCCTACAGACAACGTGTAGGGAACGGCAGCAGAACTGGCACTAAGCATCCTCAACCAATGTTCCAACCTGCCACATGATGCAGCCGGAGAAAGAGAACGCACTACAGAAAGAAAGGAAAAAACACGAGCGGGAGAGATAGATAGATAGATAGATAGATAGATAGATAGATGGATGGGTAAGTAGATAGATAGATAGATAAACAGATTAGATAGATAGATGGATAGATAGATAGATAGATAGACAGACAGACAGATAGACAGAGAGACAGATAGACAGATAGATAGATAGATAGAGCTTACAACTTGACCCCATTTGCTACATCCCCGTGATCCTCCAAGCAACCACAGGAAGGAAGGGCCAATAAACGCCGGGAGGCCGTGATCTTCCTCCGCTTAGCCTCGATGATGTCTTCGGTGTCGGTCTTCCTGGGTCTTTTTATGTTGGCTTTAGGGTGTAGGATTCAGGGATTAGGATTTGTTTAGGGAAGTGGCCGGTCGGTGCATTTTTGGTATCGTGGATCAGAATTCTGGGTCTTGGGCCTTGCACTTGGTTTGCGCAGGTCGTGGAGGCATGAACCCGAAGGTCCTGCTGACTTCGCATCCAACCCCTGAACGCGGAACCTCATCTGAACCAGAACCTCATCTCACATCCTCTGAGGGGCAGCTGCGGCTGCAAGTGCTCATGATCCCGAACAAACCCTCGGCTGCCTCTGCTTTTCTCAAACTCAGCAGGGACGCTGGATCTGCATACTCTCTGGAATCTTGTACCCGGCCGGCGTGGTGACCTTTCCGCAGCGCTCCAGACATCCACTGAGCGCAGAGCTTCAAAGGCATCAAAACAGCCCACCAAACAATCCAACAAGCCCGAAAACCCATTCCCGGAGAAGTACACGGTTCCCAATAGCAAAGCCACGGGCTGGTCAGGACTGACGCGGAAAGGATGGGTCTACATCTTCGAGCTCAGGTTTCGTGTGCTTCATTCAGCGCAAAGCTGTTGTGCGTCTGCGTCTTTCTCCCCCGCTCTCCGCGCAGATGTATCGGATACGAGCAATCCATTCATCTATGCGTGTCGTCGCACTGGTGATGAACTCAATGCACAGAACCCATCGCAATCCCGGGTGGGACACAGACGAACAACACCTGTAAGCCCTGAACAAAACGCTGGGCCTCCTTGATGGTGCGCTTCTGCTGCCCGACTTTCCTGAGATGGTTGCTGTAAGTGTGAGCCAGAGGATGACTTTAACCGCAGGGTTCAGGGTTTAGGGTTTTTTTTACAAGTCCTGCTTCAGGAATAATGACCTTACTATGTAGGGCCTAGATTTGGATTCCACACTTGCTCAAATCCCCATATACAAGTCACACCACCTAGGCCGTACTAGCCTACTAGCCACCTCAAACTGTCCGAAACTCGAACGGCAAGAACTTCCCTACTTCCTTTTTGCATCACAATGCAGTTCCTCGCGTCAGAAAATATCTTCGACCCTTTTCCAGGGTGTGGGTTTGTTTCGCTTGCTTTCGTGCTTTTCGTGTTGACGAAATCACCCCCCCCAGGGACGGTTCAAGCACGTCACAGAGCAAGCCCGGGAAGCGGAAATCAAAGAGCCTGCGTACTCGAAAGCCTCTACACACTTCTGAACTTTCCTTGGCCCCCTACTCTTGCCCATAGAAAAGGCAAAGCAATTCTGCAAAGCCCTCCCGGCCCCGCCGAAATCGCAGGTTTTAAGAAGGTATGAAGCAGTATGAACCTTGAACCCAGCACCCTATTCATTTCGCAACCACTAAACCCCACGAATCAAACCCCCAAAACCCTACCAACCCAACCACAAACCTTCAACACCGCAAAACCCTTTCGCAACTGGCCTGCTGCGACTCCGCCAGGACGAACACTTGACCACAATCACCCCTTTTTGCATCAGGACTTGTGCAATCGCCCTAAGACCTAAACCTAAAACTAAACCCTAAACCCTTTTTTTTGAGCAGGGACTGCAATGCACTAAGACCTGAATCCCTTCAGCAAACCCCTAGTCCCTAGACCCTAAACCCCTAAACCCTAGACCCTAAACCCCGAAACCCCAGAAGCCCTCAAGACCCATGGGGACAAAACGGGCCCAAGGCTCCCCGAGGTCTGCAGCCGGATCTGATCGAACCTGACCTCGGCCCGGCTGCCGTAGTCCATGAAGGTGATCCTGAGCTTAGGGGTTTTTTTGACACTCACACTCGGACAAGCCTGGCAAGGTCCACCACGATACCGTCTTCAAGAAACGTTAACAGATGCAACAAAGTAGGTTCACTTTGAAGCTCGCTGTCAAGCAGGATAGAGACAAGAAAACAGCAAGTGCGCAAGCATAGGTAATAGCAAATCACACACTCGCAACTGCAGGCATGGCAATAAGTGTCCGAGGTTGCTACAGGGGTTTAGGGGTTTAGGGTTTAGCTAGGGTTTAGAGTTTAGGGGCTAGGCATTAAAAGCGAAAGGTTTTAGGGTTCAGGGGTGAGGCGGACAAGGTGAGGCTAAGGGATTTGAGGTTCTGAAAAGATCTTGAGGTGCTTTGGGAATCTGAGGCTTCCCGCTTGCAGGGTCTAGGGTACAGATCTGATTCAGATTGGGAAGGTTGAATGATACCCTGCCTTTTGGGACTGCTTTTAGGTGTGACGAAGGTGAGGATGCTCTGGCGCTGTAGGGTTTGGGGTTTACAGGTACTGGGTTGAGGGCTTCAAAGTTTCAACTCCGACCTCGTCGGCGATGATGAGATTCTTTGTGGGGAAATTGGTTAAAATGGGGGAGTCTCCACTATCTAGACCCCCTCAACCTCTTCGGGTTAGGGCTCAAAAACCAACTAAGCCACAGAGTTTAGGATTCACCCCGGGTTGGGGCTTGAGGTCCAGGGAGCTTGTAGCCCTTCTCTGTCTGCTCCGTAATGACCTCGGCGAGATTTTATCAAACGCTCTTATGTAAGCAACACAATTACAACTCGTCGTCACGTCGTCGTCGACATCTTCTTCGCCAGTCATCGTCGTCGTCGTAGGAGTAGCAGTAGCACTAGCAGCAGCAGTAGCAGTAGCAGTAGCAGTAGCAGTAGCAGTAGCAGTAGCAGTGGCAGTGGCAGTGGCAGTGGCAGTGGCAGTGGCAGTGGCAGTGACAGTGGCAGTAGTAGTCGCAGCAGTAGAAGCGGCCGTAGCAGTAGAAGCAGCAGTAGCAGTAGAAGCAGCAGTAGCAGCAGCAGCAGCAGCAGTAGCAGCAGCAGTAGCAGCAGCAGTAGCAGCAGCAGTAGCAGCAGCAGCAGCAGCCGCTGCAGTAGTAGTGGTAGTGCTGCAGCAACAGTCGTAGTCTAGCGAGGGTTGTCGTCGTCGTTGTCGTCGCCACCGTAGCAACACCAGATTATAATGGCAGCACCAACGCCTCCATCGTTGTTGCTGCTAGTCTTATGGATGTGATGTGCCGTTGCTGGCTAGTCTCGGGAGAGGGCCCGTTAACTACAGCCTGCCAGCCTTCCCCAACCCTGCCTCGCCATCCCACAGCTAGCTGGAGGGTAGCTCTAAAGATGCAACTCGTAAGCTAAACTCGAACCCCCTACAACCTAAAGGCTAAGCCCAAGCCCCCAAAGCCGACACGAAGAATCGAAATCGCCCTTTCGCCCCCCTTGAGACAAACACCGCCGGGATCCCCAAATTGCCCAATCAACCGCGCGAAGATCCTTGCTGATATGGCGGCTGTAATGGGTGAAATCCACTCTTGGGGTATGTTCTTCCATAACCATAAGAGGAGCCCTTGAGGAATCAGGCTTCTGCACTACAAAGGTCCACCAAAGAACTAACAAACCACAGCATTCGGATAAAAAACTCTAAAAAAATACGGCCTGGGTCATCCCTGCAGGCCAGGGACACAGTCGTACCAGAGGCCATCATCTGGGAAGATCGCCTGTTGGCGGATTTCTTGGTGAAGGATTGTGTCTAAACCTTACAACACAAACCTCCAAAAACCCTTTTTGCATCCAGGACTCTTCAAAAACCCTAAACCCCTAAACCCTACAACATAAACCTCCAAAACCCCTCAACCCTTTTGCCAAAGATCCTACCGGAAAGCCCGAGGGTCCCAGGCATTAGGGTCTAAATTCTGGAAGCTGGTGGTGCGGGTCGACAAGGCTGCAGGGCTTCTCGCTTTTCGGGTTTAGGGTTTAGGGTTTAGGGCCTTTCGGCGCTCACACTCGGACACTCCAGGCGAGGCATATGGTTTAGGGTGTAGGGTTTAGGGTCTTTCGGGCTGGTGGAGGCCAGGGTCTCCAAGGGTGTGTTGGAGTTCGGGGTTCAGCATGTAAGTTTAGGGCGTGTCAGGATTCAGCGAGTTCAGCATGCGCCAACGGCGGTGTATGTTCCAAAGTCGCAAGTTTACGGATCTATGGTTCTTTGGCTGAGGGTTCCCCCCAAACACAAAAGAAGTCTGCCGACAAGGCCAAACCCCAATGTTCGGAAAAGCGCGCTGCCAATATGAGGTGTAAGGTGTATCCTTTCTTGTCTTGAGGGTTCGACGCTGCAAGGCTCCCTGGGCCGAAACCTCATTAAATTTCGGGATCGAGGGCTTTGGCTTTGGAGCTTTGGGGCTTTCGGGAGGATCTTGCCTGGCACTTCGTTCCTGGCTGACACTGGGCTGGATGTGGTGGTCGCAGAAGGCGGACGTCCGTCACCTGAAGGTTTGAAGGGGCTCGGCGGGCTAGCAGGAACCCCTGCTTCGTCTGCCTGCCAACCTGTTGATAAAGCGCTCTCCGGTGCGAATCACTGGCACTTCCTGTGACTAATCATCAACCAGGAATACATGACACCAGCAATCCGAGCTCTAGAGCACTACAAAAAGACGTCGATCCGACCGCGCCCCGGCAATGGCTCGTCCCACCACATGACGTGGCTTGAGAGTTCTGAGCTGACCCTAAGCCCTACACCATGTGCCTAAACCCTATACCCCAACCCTCGAGCCCAAAACCCAAGCCCGGCACAACAGCAACAAGCTTTAGGACTCCCACCGATGGAAAAAGACGCAACTATACCTACCCACATCACCACCCAAATCCCTCAAACCCAAACCGGTAAAGAACCCGTAAAGGAACCCACAAACCCCACTTACTAAGCCTCCTGGACCCTAAATATAAACCCTAAACCCTCGTCATACCGGCCTTGAACTCCCTGCTGTTGGAGAAGCCGATGAACTCCACCATGCATCGCTCCTGCCCGCGCTCGTCGCGGCGGACAGACTTGATCTCACCTGTTTAGGGCTCAAATAAGGGCTTAGGGCTCAAATGTCAAAGGGTTTAGGGTTTCATAGGCAATAGACACCTGGATTTTAGGTTTTTAGGGGTTCAAGCTTTCAGGCTTTATAATGGTTTTGCGGCGTAGGGTCAAGAGCAGGGCGCTTCTCATGCAGCCTTGCATCAATGCAGGCTTTCACCTTCAAAAAGGCCTGAGACTGAACCCGGAGACAATAGAAATATCCTCATCCGAGCCAGGAGCGAAGCTGTTGAAGTTCAGGATGTAGGGTTTTAGGGTTTAGGGTTTAGGGTTTAGGGTTACAGCTTCCTCAATCCGATGTTCGAAGGAGACTATACGACTCCTGCCGCCGTAAGGTGCCAAACGTATAAGACCTTGAATCCCGAAAAATCTGAACCCCTAAACCCGCGATCAGAAAAGTCACAACAACCCCCCCTCCCCGAAAACAAAATACAACTTTAAAGTGCCTCTGTACCACTTCTAAACAACAACAAAACCCAAGCATCAATCGAACAGAAAGAGCCCAGGACTCCCCAAAGCACACCCCGACTCCGAACACAGCCACCCTTCTGAAACCCCCAACATTTTGAACGTTTGGGAATGCTAACAAATCCCAGTTACAACACACCAAGAAAATACGACCCAAAATGAGCACAAAGAGTACGTGTTTGAAGCCCTAAACCCTAAACCCTAAACCCTTTTGCATCCAGAACCCTGAACCCTAAACCCCAAAACCCAAAGCCCTCAACCCTAAACCCGAAACCAAACAGACAAAACGGAAAGCCGGAGCCAGGCTGCCGTTGTACCACTTCTGCTCGAAGAAGGCCTCGCAGGTGCGGCCGACGAGCGCGGTGTGCACCGACTTGCCGGCCTTGTCGCCGAATCGAACCCCGGATCAAGGTGTAGGATTTAGGGCGCAAGGATTTAGGGTTTAAGGGTTTAAGGGTTTGGGGTTTCGCGCTTGTTTAAGATTTCGGGGTTTAGGACTTTTAGATCTTACGCGCTCGCAACTCGGACGCGGATTTAGGATTTAGAGTTTAGGGTTTTCGGTGCTTCCCCATCGATTGAAGGCCTTTCGGGCTTTGTTTACGGTTCATCCCAATGGGGCTTTGGTAAGGTCCGCATCTAAAAGGGGGGGGGGTTGGGGGTCTTTGGGTGTTGAGGGCTGTTCAAACAAGTCTATAAGGGTTCTACAATATGGGTAATTAGAGGGTTCAGCAGTTGAGGGTTTAAGGCTTTGGGCTTTTAGGGTTTAGCGCTTGGGCGTTGGTCTTCCAGTGGAGAATGTTGTAGTTGGATTGGTTGCGCATTTCTGCTCCCTGCTGCGAGCAAGACAAGGGACCCACTGGATCACACTAGAGAATCGCCTGAAGCCTCTGGAACACTCGTAGAACCTGGTACATGCCCCTATGCAGAGCCCGATAAGAAACCTCAAACCCTGAACCCCGAAGCAAAGAATGACGCACAACCCTAAACCCACACAACTCTAAATAAAATGCACAACACCACATGGCAAGCCGAGGGACTGAACGAGAAGTGGGCAGTGGCCTCGGCGAGAGGTAGTGGCTTCGGGTGTAAGAATGAAGGGCTTTCAAGACGCAATAGTGCTAGCCGCACTACTTAGACGCTCAGGCCACTTAGTAAGTAGGGCTATGAGTACCTTAGTTGGGCCATTATAAACAGACAGAACTCTACTTACTTCCCTATGACCTTACATACTAAGTCTCCTGAACCTCGCAGTAATACCTCTGGGGGGCCAGACGCGGGAATTGCAGCCATGGAGAAGGAGAGTGACCATGACTTGAATCCTGATCCCACACCCCTTTTGCCCCCTTATGTAGGGGCCTTAATAATTGCCAATGCTACTTTGGGGGTTCTTTATTCTAACTACAGTAGAATATACCCCAAAAACCCTGTTCTGATTATTAAGGCCTCTACCCCAAACCCTAAACCCTAAACCCTAATATTACTACTTAGCTTCGCATCCGGAGTACACTGGAGGAGCGCTCGCCCTGCCAGCCGTCTCGGCACCCGTCTCGGCTTCCGTGGGCGCCGCGGCCTTGCCCCGCCCACGCGTTGACGTGGCGAGTAGACGGTAGGCTGTAGGGCTTCGAGTGTAGGAACGCCGGGGGTTCGGATTTCAGGCCCAGGGTTGAGGCCTTGAGAGTCGAAGGTCTATGGCACTATGGCTTGGGGTCTGTGATCTGTGTACGCCTCTGGTTCAGTGAGGGCTTTGGGGTCAGAATGCATGCGGGCGCAGCCAGGCTAGCCCGCCGCAAGTCACAAAGCCTAACCTGACTGAGGAAATATCCGCCCAAGAGGCTGCAACCCCAAGCACCCACTCTCTTCCCAGATGGGTCGATGTTCCACACACCTTCAACCCCCGCCCGAAAAGCCAAACCACGCTGACCACGCTGCCGAAAGATCCTCGGTGCCTTGCCTGGTACTTGACCAAGTCTTCCGTCAAGACGATGACCTGGAAGAGAAGGGCAGGCGCTGCAGGTTAGGGCTTAGGGTGTCGGGTTTAAGGTTTAGGGTTTAGGGTTTAGGGTTTAGGGTTTAAGGTTTAGGGTTTAGGGTTTAGGGTTTTCACTCTCACAACTCGGACAAGCCAGGCGAGGATCCATATGTTCGCAGTCGGCGTGAAAACAAGATGGTTCCATGCCTGGGTTTAGGGTTTAGGGCCTAAACCTGCAATCCGCTTTCTACCCTACCAAGCCCTCGAATCCCCTCAGAAAGCCCCCTCGAAACCCCTGGACCAGGTGATAGAATCGTTTGGGCACCAAGTTTCCTTAACGGATTTGCGGGCATACTTACTTTGTTGCAAGAACCTGCCCAGCTCATCTAGCATACAAACCAATAGCACAGAAGCAGATGCTTCGAAAACGAGCGCTGATAAACACGGACCAAACAGCCAGAGTTATAGCAAGAGCAGTCAGCTAAACAAGCAGAATTGTAAACAAGAACTGGGACAAGGATCTTGAGAAGTGTAGGAATGAAAGATAAAGTCAGACATGTAGGGCAACGAAGGATAACGTATGCCGGAGCAAGTCAGCATAAGAAGCAGCGAGCAGCACCAGAAAAAAAAAAAAGAAGAGCGCTTTTGTTTCAATTGTTTGCCCTCCAGCTTCGGACCTCCCAGCCCCTACCGGCAACTGCGAAATCCAGCGATTGAACCCCAAAAGGGGCCCTAACTGAGAGATCTATTTCACACGCCGACAACAACTGACCTCCTTGTAGTAAATCTAGAGGAACCCTGGACAGTCATCCGTATAGATAACTACGGAGAAAGCCACCTCTGTAAGGTCGTTCTTCAGCTTCACCAGGGACGGCTCATCAGGCTGCTGTTCCAGGGCCTGCGCAGCAAACCCCAGTCGAGACAGAACCTTTCAGGGTTTGCCCTAAACCCTAAACCCTAAACCCTAAACCCAAATCCTAAACCCTAAACCCTAGGCCCTACAGGCACTTTAGGGTTTCGGGTTGAGGGCCTCGGGTCTTCAAGGATTGAAGCCGGCCATTCAACTATTGGAGTTCAGCCTCATTAGAAACAGGGGCCAGAGCTCAAGTCAGACAGGTGCTTGAAAAAAATAAGACACAACAGGTCAAGAGCCCAGCCTTTGGGGTTAGCATCATCAACAATATCATCAGGACCGCCACCCCAAGCTGAAACATGCGCGTCGCAAGTGACAGGATGTTCGGCTGACCAATACAACATGTGCCACAACACTCACCATCGCAACATACAATCTTGTTGCAGTATCGGTGGTCGTCGTCGTCGCCCTAGTCGCCACCGACGTCATCATCGTCGTCGTAGTCGCCGCAGAAGTCCGCAGTCGCCGGCAGAGCAGCCGTTCACACCCCAAGACCCCAAGCATCCCAAAATTGAAAACCCAGCACTCTGGGCACTGCCACCCTGCAAAAACCCTGAAAACCCCAAATGCCGCCTCCTCCACTTGGGCCAACTGTTCACGGTAGGTGTCGAGCTTTGTCAGCAACTCCTCCGCTGACTGCTGGAAGTCCATGGTGGCCTCAGCTTCTGATGCCTTTTCTTCGGGTTAGCATAAGGTTAGGTTTTAGGGTTTAGGCTTTCGACTCACACACTCGCAAATGCAGGCATGGCGATAAGTGTCCGGGTTTAGGGTTTAGGGTTTAGGAAGGGCAGTATACGCTTACTACAAGGTTATTCTACGGCGTATGTTGGGGCTTAGGAACATAGAGGCACCTGATTGGGGAATCCCCTTTACTTCTGAAGCTCCCAGCGTGGACGTAGGGTTTGGACGTAGGGACGGTTTAGGGTTTAGGGTTTAGGGTTTAGGGTTTAGGGTTTAGGCTGAAGTCGCTCAGGGTGTCTGCGGCTGAGGGTTTTTCGGGATTTCGGGTTTCGGGAGGTTTCGGTGTTTTGGGCCCCAAACCTGAGCCCACAAACCCCATACCCCAACCCACAGCCAAGACCCCAAAACCTCGCGATTTCAAACATCGACTATACCTATATAATGAGTCATGAAGGAGATTCTCAAGGTACTTGCATGTTGTGTACCTATATAGGGACGTTTACAAACAAGAAGCCCAAGGACCGAGGGGCACCGCGCTCTGGCCTACAACAAACTACGACAGTTGCATAATGTAGGGGGCTTAGTAGTTGGAATAGGGTTTCGGGGCAGACTTTACTATAGTGGAACCCCCCCAAAGTAGTATATTATATGTAATTATTAAGGCCCCTATATTAGTCATACCCCTAAACCCTAAACCCTAAACCCTAAACCCTAACTAACCCAAACCCTAGACCAGCCAATCTTGTTCTGTTCTCACTGTTGAATGACGCAAAGCGCCGTGGCTCCAGCTTTCTGACATTGGAGCCCGAAACCCGAAACCTAGGCACCACATCCACAAGGACTATTGTCAGGCCAGCTGTCATTACGGTTGCTGCAATGACTACCCTAAACTCCAAGCCCCAAATGCCAAGGTACAGTGTATCTCTCATTCCACTGTGAATTTGCCAAGGCACCGTTCGCGCTGTGGGCTCTCCTCTTCCAAAATGATCTTTGAGGCGAAACGGCTTGGTGCGGGCAAAGGTCATCAGCTGATCGGATGGCTTGGGCTACGGAGTTGAAGGCCGAGTCATCAATATAGCATCGGTTAAAACGGTAGCCCGCTAAAATTAACCCGTCAAGCTGTAACCCGAGAATATTAATTCGATGACGTATAATGTCCCAAGCTTTCACAGCTGAAGCTGTGGCCCCGATAAGATGAACATCCACCACAAGGAGCAAGGTAGTGGGCTATATCTACATAAATCACGTCAGAATACTTACTGCGCTACTGTCTAAGTCCCCTGAACCTGCAAGCATGCCCTGCCAGACAGGGACACGAAGGGTACTACTAGGTGCGTCATGTCATCTGTACTAGCCTGACCTCTTGTAGATCTGGAATAGACTTAATAGAATGCTTTAAAGGATCCCTCTCTGTAATCCCTGAAGGAACCTGAGAAGGGGGCCCTAACAGGAACCCGCAAAGGAACCCCCATGAAAGGAGCCCAGAAAGGAGTCCTTGGAAAGAACCCTTAAAGGAAGGAACCCTGAACCGGACTCTGAAACGGCAAGGCCCCAGCACTGCTGGCAGATCCCAACCTCAGGCATTGGAGAAAACGAGTGTTCATGCGGTTTCTTTGCTCTCAGGGTTTCGGCGCTCACACTCGGACATGCCAGACGAGTTCTTGGTGCGAGTCGGTTATATAAAGTGAGACGCTTCCAAGAATGCGCGACCCATTAGCACAAAGTTATGACAGGCAAGGCAGTAATGAGACTTCGTCGGACATCGTTGAACGATGCAATTCAGAGGGGCCTTGACAACAGGATAGGGCCTAAGACGAAAGTCCGCTTTTGGGTGACGTATAGTAGCGGGACACCTCGGAATCTGGAGGCTCCCAGATCTCTGAGGGTTTCGGAAGAGGTTGAGGGTTCAGGGTTTAGTTGAGTGCTAAGAGTTCAGGTTAAGGGCTTAAAGTTTAGGGCAGATGTTCAACACCCTTCACACGATCCGTGCAGATTAAAACACACGATCCGGTGCAGTGAAAACCTGTCCGAACATCCTTTAGACGAAGCTCCAGCTGCCGGGGACAACGACAGCTACTACCAAACTTTCGCAGAAGCCTCACCTACTTCCTCCAAAGGCGTGGGGGAGACCCTCGGAATCCTCTGTCTGGTGCTTAGTAGGGAATGAGGGAATGGATCCCTATGATAGTCCCCTAAGGTCCCTTATAGTAGTTTCTATAACCCATTCCCCCATTCCCTACTAAGCATCAGACAGTCCTTGCTTAGACCTTGAATCTCTCCTCCCCGAGCCTCGAATTGCTACCGACGAGGCCGCACCGGGCCGCACCCGGCCCCATCCTAGACCCTAAACCCTGAACTCCGGGAACTGAAACCGGTGAGTTTAGGGTTTAGGGTTTAGGGTCAGTGAGGGCCGGGCGCCCCCCGATCGGCTAAAGAAAGCGTCACGATGAACTCCGTTCCTGGCTTGCGAGCTCTGAAGGTGTGGACCCTCTTGCTCTGCTGGCGTCCCTTATTAGATATAGTCATAGTAACTATAGTAGTTATCAAAATTATAGTAATTGTAGTAACTATGGTAATAATACTAACTATAGCAATTATAGTAACTATCGTAATTATAGTACTTGTAGGACAATGTACCCCCAAAATCCTATTCTAACTCTTCAGGCCCCCATGCTAGGACTTTGCAATCTATCCGCATCGCACTTGCGCAGGGACAGCGCCGGGATTGGAAATCACGATCCCTGGCAGTTCGGTGAAAACTACCGGACACAACCATCCGAGGCTCAAAGGCAAAGACTGTAGAGCTTCCTGCGAGCAGGAAACACCCATAAGCTGGCCCTTGACAATCTCCCTGGACTGCGAAATCCTACTTCCTTGATCTCCCAAGGAAGGGGGCGGCTCGCGAGCCTTTCGCGGCGGGTGGTCCCGCGAACACCTCTCGGACAGTCGGGCTTCGGGGTCGGAGCTTAGAGTTTTTCGGGAAGACGGGGGCCGGGACTAAAGAATCTTCTAAATCGCAGGAGACGCAGTCTGAGACTTAGGAGGGCCAGGAAACAGAAACCCCCTGATTTTCTGTGAGCCCTCTGTATGTGCCTCTGAGCCTCGACGTGTGAGGGCTCATGTAGGAGCTCTTCTAATCTATGCTCCCTCTGTTGTAAGGAACAGCCTCATATTAATATAATCCTTAAGGCACTATGAGGGCATTGCAAAAACAAACCCATACAAACCGTGTTCTGATTGCTAAGGCCTCTGCGTTACGTCATGGCTTTGGGCTTTGGGGCTCTGGTCAGGGGATGGAACTCAGGGGTTGCCACTCAGGGCTGTGTGGGACCCTGGTGGGAAAAGCTAGTGGGGCTCAAGGGTTTTAAGGGTTTAGGGCCTTCTCTCCGCAAGAGCCCGAAATCGTACGAGTGGAGTTCAGGGTTTAGAATCACCAGAAATAACTCGGGTGAGCTCCAAAATGAATGAATGGAGCTCTATAGAGCACAAAACACCGCTTCTAACGTCAAGCAGGCTCCCCAAAACCTGAACCGCAAGGCAGTTTCTTACTTTCGTTTTTGTTTTGAACCCGCCGGGAGCCACGCAAAAAAACCCAAACCCACTAAGACTCAGACGATCCCAGAAGCACAAAGTGTCACCTCGTCGACGCAGACCTTGTCCCCGAAGCGATGGCGGCAGAGTGCATTGACTACCTCGGGGCGCGGGGGCGCACGATTTTGGCTTGGGGCACATAATGCAAAACAGTTTCATGGCAGCATCAGGAGTACCGAAAAGTAGCACTGCGAATAAACATGAGAAATCACGCACAACCACCACCATAGTTCGTACTAGAAACAAGATGAGCCTTCAATAGTCATTCTTGAGCCTGCTTTCATACCAGCAACAATCATGACTCAGAATGGAAGAAATAGACAGCTTCAGATTCAATCATAGTTGCTGTTGGATACCATATGCCCCTGCCAGACTAGGTTCCACCGTAGCAGGGAGGAAAGGCGATCGTCGCAGTGGCATCAGTGTTCCGAGCGGTGTCTTAGCAAGCTAAATCAACTTCATACAGGGGCCTTAATAATTCCAATCGGGTTTGGGGGCCCATTATACCATAATTATAATAAGGAACCCCTAAAATAATGTTGGTAATTATTTTGGCTTCTACATTAACTGTAGGTTACAACCAAAGGGGGGCTACAGTTCCAACGCTCAGCTTTCACAGACTCCCCGAAGTCGCGAAGCGCGAGCACTTAAGCTTGAAAGGCTTTGGGTTCAAGGCTGAAGGGTCAGCGTTTGAGGCTTTTTTCCCTAGGGTTTAGGGTTTAGGGTTTAGGGTTTAGGGGTCAGCGTTTGAGGCTTTAGGGTTGAGGGTTTCGCATAAAGAGTCGAACCACCTTGTGTGCAAGCACGATGCACACCATGTTTCTCGGAGCCGGTCACCGGTTACGAATACGGCAAATCGATGAACTCTAGTACGGCAGTTCTCGTTCATAAAAAATTTGATATACGAAGTACATCAGAGCTGCTGCTTCCCCAAACCTTGCAGCCTGTTGAACTCGGAGCTCTTTCCCATCAGCCTAGACCCTCCTGAACCCGTTTTTGCTACTGGACTCAAACCCTCAACGAGCTCACAGATCTCAGCCCTTCCCCATGGGATCCCGCGCATTGCGGGCCGTGTCGCACGCCTCTTCGGCCACCCACTGTGCCTCAACCTCCTGTGGCAAATCTCGCAGGGGCATGTCGATGAGCCTACAACTCGAGTTTTGAGTTACAGTTCCCTTCGCACAAAAAAAGCGACGGTTGCCCAGAAGCCTCTCCTCTCCATCCCTCCTTCCTTCATGTTCTTGCTTCCTGCAGGGCTGTAGGCTTCAGAGCTTCCTCATCAGGGCCACAGAGCCCCCAGGAAGCCCTGGATGCCATGGGCAAAGGGGCAAAGCTGGCTTGCAGCAAGGGATGGAACTGAAACCTCTTACACTCTCTCTCTCTCTCTCTCTGTGTCTGTGTTTCTGTATCTCTTTGTGTCTCTGTGTGCGTGGGGGGCGTCCGCGTACGCATGTACGTACACACATACATGTAGGTTTTTGGAAAGGGCCCATGGTTAAAGTTAAATGGCTGGGGAAACTTTCACATACACACACACTCACACACACACACACGCGCGCACAAAACCTCAACAGAGGGGAAGGTGCTGTTATTGCGCAGGCCTACATGTATACTAAAACCAAATGGACAAACATGTTTGTCATACGCATATATGCACGTAGACATGCACAGACTAGGGTTTGCATGCGAATAAAATTACTGCATGTATCTGACTAAGACAATACACCCGGATGCACATGCACGACAGCCCCTTCAACTCCTGGGCTCAACGATCCGGCGCAAGAGCTGGAAGCCTACTGCAAGGGCCCTAATAATTAGAACAGGGTTTTGGTGAACACTATAGTATAACGATAACAGGGAACCCTAGGAATAATATTGGTAATTATTCAGGCTTCTGTATCACCATGTCCATCTCCATGATGCTGAGGCTGGCACGGGAAGCCCTTCCGTCTGCATGGCTTGTGGACCACCGTCCTCGACCGGGTTGGGTGAGAAACCATGCTCACGGCGAGGTCTGCTTTGGAAAGAATCTGAATAGGATACTAATTGCGATATACAACTGTACTTCAAGTTTGTTTGTTGCAGACATGATCAAGTTCAGCCCCGAAAGGCAGAAAAGTTAAACAACCTCAGAAGTAGTAACAATCAGCCCCTAGCTCACAAATGCCAAGCTTCAGAAAGGAACAAGGCTCTCGTCTGCTGTGCTCACCACATGTTCAATCCACCATGACCTAGCTATCCCATGCAACATGCCAAGACCACAAGACACAGCTAGAACAAGCCCTCAAGGTCTGGGTTCCGGGTTTAGGGTGTCGGTTTAACGGTTAGGGCTAGGGATTCAAGGCTTGGGGTTTGGGATTCAGGGCTTAGGGCCCTTAGGGTTTAGAGTAGAAAATGCATCGGATGAGACAGGTAGCTTTCCGGACCTTTCGGTCTCCTACCCAGAGGGGAAGACCAAGCTGTGACGTAGAATGCAGGGACTTTTTGCAGTTTTTGCAAGAAAAGCCGGAGAATTCAGGCTCTTGTAGATTCCTGTGTTACATCCTGGGAACCCCGGAGTGCCGGCATCTTAGTTCTTTGCCCTCCATGCGTAAAGCTTCGAGAAGTCTCGTCGATGTAGGGATTACGTTCTCACAGCTCGGACAAGCCAGGCGAGGTTCCATAGGTGCGGGTCGGCGTGACACAGATCGAGGATTGAAGGCTTACTCTGGAGTCTCCACTCGAATCTCTCCGTTGAGGTCAATCATTTTTGCGGCTTCCTAACGCCAGACCGTGAGCCCTACACCCCAAGCCCTGTGCCGTGCTTGCTTTTCCAGCCTTGGCAGAAACGTGGAACACCTCTTGGTGCTCGGTCTATGGACAGTGTCAGCCGTCACGGCAAAGAAAGAGCACGAAAGTCCCATCCGGGGTCTGTCCAAGCAGGACAAGAGCATTCGTACTACGATTATTTCACAATTATGTCATCTGGTTTGCCGTCTCGTTGTGCTGGCAGCAGCAGAAGCAAATGAAGCGAGAACCGTAGCGGGTGTACCAGCAGCGGCAGTACTAGCAGCGTAGCAAGAATGGCAGTCGTTGTTGCGCACTTAGTGTAGTCGCCATCGCAGCACTAGTAGTAGCAGCCGTCGCCGTCGTGGTAGTAGTATATGTGGCAGAGATCGATCGTGGGAAATGGTAGTGGTCGCAGTAGTGTTGGCGGTAGCAGCAGCAGTGGTGGTGGTGGTGGTGTTGGTGGTGGTGGTGGTGCTGCTGCTGCTGCTGCTGAGGGTAGTTTTAATTGTAGGAGTAGTAGTAGTAGTAGTAGTAGTAGTAGTAGTCGTCGTCGTCGTAGTAGTAGTAGTAGTAGTAGCAGCAGCAGGAGTAGCAGGAGTAGGAGTAGTAGTAGTAGTAGTAGTAGTAGTAGTGGTGGTAGTAGTAGTAGCCGCAGCCGTAGCCGTAGCCGTAGCCGTAGCCGTAGCCGTATCAGCAGCAGAGCACAGTTGCGACAGCAGTACCCATCAGACTCTGATGACCGAAAACTGCTACGAACTGGCTAACTGTCCTAGTTAAAGCAGCATCGAAACCAGCTTCATCTTGATAGTGAAAGCGATAAAAAGGAGCTGGCATGAGCCTTGAAGGCGCAGCATTCACCGGTTATGAAACTGCCACAACCACAATCAGACCAAGTGTCATGAGGCACGGAAAACGTCTACCTGTTGCGACGGGCCTTCTGCGACTTCAACAGAGAACACCTAAATGCTCAACCCGACTTACCTAACAACCTCTTAAACCACTCCCCAAGCACACCGGAAGCCGTCAAGAGACTCCTACACATCGACCCGCAATCCTAGATATCCCAATCTCGGATGAGACGCCGCCTCCTAAGGGCGCATAGCTTGGACCTCAACCGATTTGGTTGATGCCTGAAAAGGCAAAAAAGGAGCAGGGCCCCGTCCCCTTTAAAGGCCTTCGGTGCTTTGGGGGGTTGAGGGTTGAAGGCTTCAGTGACTTAAGTGATGGACTTGAGATTGCTGGGTCTCTATCAGGGGGACAAGCCCAGGTGACAAATTGGTTGGCTGCGCCAGCGCATGTTACAAGCAGATCTGCAGTGCTTCCACTCGATCAGCAGTCCACTAAAATTTTGCCCGTAACACCAGATCTCTGTATGCCCATGCTGGACGGGCAGGTGACAATTTCGCTCCATCTGACACATAGAGAGACAGTAGAGTAGTTCGAAGAAGATTTTCATGGAAATCATGCGACCAGCATGTGCAGAGCATCTCACTGTTGACTTACGGAACTTGCCGAAATGCCCGTTCCGCTCCTGCCAGAAGCCCCAGACAAAGGAATGAACCAAGAGATCTGTGCCATCTACAGCACTCATCAACATGCACCCGGGTCCAGGGGCTTTCGGCGCACCAAGCTTCGGCTCCGGCGACTTAAGCGACCAACCTCCAAAATCGCTGCACGTCAGCGGTCTTCCGCTGTCAAAAGTCCGCATCTGCTCGCCGCCCAGGTGCGGCTCAGTTCAGGAACTGCGACAGCCACTGGAAAGCCTGCTCCGCAACTACGGTCAAAAAACCTCAGCCACAGTTCCAAAGAACTACTTTCTGAGCTGCTGGCTGCCCAGCCCCTTCCCTCTTACGTTCCATGGCCTCTGCATAGCCCATCCTCTTGACCACCTCAAGCTCAAACTCAGAGCTTTCGGGCTCAGGGCTTCGGGTGGTTTTCGGTTCGGGGCTTCGATGTAATCTGAAGGCCTGATCGCCTTCCCTTCGAGCATGATGCTTGTAATCTTACGTGCCCTACTATGAGCATACCGCCAAACCCTGTTCTAATGAATCATTAAGGCGCCTATACCCCCCACAAGCCACTGAAGCTTGCATACCCCGCGACACTCGGATCCCAGACAGCCTGAGAGTAAACCCGGCATCCTTCCGTGCCATTTTATACCGTCGTATATTAAAGTACATTTCTTGAAGCAATGGACTTCGTTCATGCCAGCACATATGACAATTGCACGTCTATGAAACAAGAGAAGCCAGTTATAAGACATCATAGTGTATATTATAGTATGTTGTAATTTGCTATAGCATACTGCACAAGTAGTGTAAGATGGTACGTTTGCAGATATTATAGGTATAGATCTAGGTAAAGGTATAGATATAGATAGAGATATCGCTACTAAAGATACAGATGGAGAGATAGAGACACAGACAGAAAGAGCCGCTAGTAAAGCTAGAGCTATAGAGATAGAGAAAGACATAGAGTTCGAGATAGAGATAGAGGTAGAGGTAGAAATATAAGTATAGATTCAGACACACATAGAGATACAGGTACATCTAGATGTAGACATATACTGTCTTGTAGCATTACGGGAAGATTACTTCTTCACCAATCATTCCAGAACAATCACTAGAATCTTTATGGTGAAGGCCGCCCTATGTGCAGTTGCACTTGCAATGATTAGGTGGCCGCGGCGGCAGGGAGCAATGGCACCACCAGTAGTAGTAATGATAGAACTAACCATCAAAGCTTTTGCCCACATAATCTCCAAGCTCGTCAAGCCTCGCATTTAGGATTTAGAGTGCTGTTGACGGAGCCAACAGAAGCCTTTTTTGCATCAGGGCTTGTGCAATCGCCTGAATACCCAACAGAAGCCTCGAATTAGTAACGCTTTTTTTCACGGAAACACACTTTCCCCCCCTAAACCCTAAACCCTAACCCTAAACCCTAAAACCTAAACCCAGGCCTCTACATTAGATCACAGAAGCTGGGCTCCCGGCGCTCACCATAAAAAGCTCCACGGGGCGGACCTGGCTATCTCCCTTCTTGGCATCCTGCGGGCGCTGGACATCCGGAGCTAGGGAAGTTCGGGCTTCAAGTCCGGACTTCAGGCTTCGGGCTTGGGTGTACTATGGTTTAGGGTTTAGGGGTTTAGGGGTTTAGGGTTTAGGGTTTAGGGTTTAGGGTTTAGGGTTTAGGGTGTACTTAGGGAGTTTAGGGTATTATTCCGTTATTGGGGTCTAGGGTCTGGGGTTCGGGTGCCTTGATCCGACGGTTTGGAGCTCCCAGCACCCTCCTACACCCCAGAAACCCCTGAAGCCCTTCCACGCTTTGAAACCCTAAACCCTAGACCCCTAAACCCCTAAACCCTAAACCCCTAAACCCTTTTCAGCACGGACTGAGGTGCCGGCCCCACTAAACCCTAAACCCTAAACCCTTACACCCTCAACAACCCGAACCCCTAAACCCAAACAAAAACCTGAACCCCTCTTTCGCAGTAGCGGGCCCAAAGGTCCGGAGCACCTTTTTGCACACCCCAAAATACGTGGGCACGCAGTGCGCGAGCGGCAGGGAGAAGGTCAAATCCTCACCCCTTCTGTACGACACCCCGATGCAATCTTTGCAGAACCCGTGTAGAACTGCTACAGAACCCTAGAGAGCAAATCCCCTACTGAGCCCGTGAGCCCCTAAACCACTTTGAATCAAGGAATTTCGAGGCATTGTGCAAACCTGAGGCCGTGGCACGTCCGTAGGTCATGTGGCCTAGGCGCTCTGGGGTGAGGCCGGGTTAATACCTGATTAGAAGCTCAGGATTTGGGGCCCGAGGGCTTGGCTTACATTTCTAAAGTTCTAGGCATTGTTTAGGGTTTCGAGCTTCGCTTAGGGCTTTCGGAGATGGTTTGATGATTCAGAGCTTCGATTTATCCATGGAGTCGGGGCTGTTGCGCAAGGCACCGCCGGGAGCGCAACTTGCTGACCATTCAAGAATTCAAAAATTCAGGGTTCCAGGCTTATGGGCGAAGGTTTAGGGTTTAGGGTCCAATTTGGGGCTCAGGGTTTAAGTTTAAGTTTAGGGCCTAGCTTAGGGTTGAGAGTTCAGGGTTTCTGTGGAGCGCTCAGGGTGTAGGGGTAGGGTTTACAGGGCTTTGGGTTTAGGATTTCCCGAAAACTCCCACAAACCATGTTTTGAACCTAGGTTCAGATCCTGCAGCAGCTGGGAAGCGGACCCTAAGCTGTAAACCCTGAACCTGGCACCCTTACCCTCAACCCAAACCGTCATCCCAAACCCACCCCTGAACTCTCAATTCAAGCCTCCCTGTTGGCTGGGAATCCGGCTCAGCAATCCCAGTGCCTCGGAAGTCCGGGTTGAGGGCTTTTGGTGCAGGGTTCACTGCATACAGCTAGGGTTCAGGGCTTAGGGTTCAGGTTTTAGGGCTCAGGGTTTAGGATGTTTTCGGGGTGTAGGACTAAGGGTTTAGGATTGAGGATTTAGGGTTTAGGGAGCTGACCTGCAGCACCAGAACTGCATGCTTGTATGTGCATATGACAACGGGACGAGACTCCTTGTAGCACCTGAAAGAACCACATATAGGACCCGAAGATCATCCTCCCAGGATCTTCTGGAATCCCTAATAAAGCCGCTTGTGGGACCCGTGCGATAGGACGCCTTGTTTCAACCCTATCATTGAAGAAAGCAGAATCCGAAGCCCGGGCGTTGCGGAGCTCGTCCTCGCTGGCCGCTGTAGGGATGTCGATCTTGTTCCCCAAGACGACAAAGGGCCTGAGTTTCGGGTTCAGGGTTTCGCGTATCGGGTTTAGGGGTTCAGGTTTAGAGTTTAGGGTTTAGGGCCTAGGGCCCAGGGCTTAAGGCTTCAGGGTTCGGCTTTCGGGGGTCTCATGAGGTTGGGTCCCACAAGACGACAACAGCGCCATCAGGGCTTGCAAACGGTTTCTGGGGGATCCCAGTGGATTTAGAGTTTAAGGTTTGGGGTTTAGGGTCTAAGGTTTAGCGGTTTATGGTTTAGGGGTTTAGGGGTTTAGGGGTTTCGGGGTTTAGAGTTTAGAGTTTAGGGGTTGGGGTGTAGGGTCTAAGGTTTAGGGGCGTTGGGGCTTGCGGGGTGCTAACGTTTATCAAGTCAGGGTGGGTGGTTCAAAATTTCAGAGTTGAGGGTTCAGGGCGGGACTCAAAATGAAATGGTTTGTTCAATGACGCCCTGGGTATATGCGATGATAGAATGAAAAGTGAAAGCTGAGGAACAGGCGGTTAAAGGTTCAGGGGGGGTCCAGGGACTAAGGTTTGGGAGTTAGAAGTTTGGGTTGAGTGTTTAGGGTTTATGCTCTCGCAACTCGGACTGGCCAGGCGAGGATC